GGCAAGTGTGCATCTGCATCTGTTACTCATTTTGCGTAGCGAGCAGATGGATGAGGCCGGCAATATGACAGCGTGTGGCTGTGTAGCTGAGACCTTACCTTGCATGTCATGTGTGTTTATCTATTGACTGGTTTATCAATGCAGTGGCGTGACAGACAGACAGATATGAATGAATATGGTCAAACGGAGCGGCGTGATCGACCGACCACTAACTCCCTTATCCACACATCACATCACATCACATCACATCACATCAAGCGGCGGCACAGCAGTCTCTCCCGCCATTTTATCAACCAGCCCTTCTCGTAGAGGTGGGTGTTTTGAGTGGGTGTATAGTGGCTTTCTAGTTTCTGTTTCGTGTGTGTGGACCACCACCAATCGAGACATCGAAGGGTTCATCGATCACATGCTTGTCAGTCAGTCACTCAGTAAGTCAGTCACGGCACACAGACACCAGCTGCACCAACACGTGAATTCACTCGTATACAGCTATTCACCGGCAGGCAGGCAGACAGCGGGTGAGCCATCCACAACAAATTCACGTCAGTGACGCCCGACTGGATGAGTGCCACTGAGCGAACACATCATGAGTGACTCACACCGACCGGTGCCTGTCCATCTGCTGGCCTGCCTCTCATCGATCCATCCTTCCATCCACGCACGACAAGCAGGACCAGGTGAGGCAGCGACACCAATCTATTCATGCGCACATCAAAACCTGCCCGCCCGCCTGACTGTCTTCCCCTCATCCATCCATCCATCGACCAATCGACGTGCCCCGCTCGCTTATCTCACGTCAGCTGCAGCGGTCTGAAGGTCGCTCTGCCGTCCCGGCCCCTCTCGACCCACCCCAGCTGCTGCCACTGGAACTGGCAGTCGTCATCCCCCAGGTGCTCGTTGAAGCCCTTGACCAGCCCCGCCACGCCATGCTGGGACGCCTCGTCCAGCCGGGCCCTGTGCACCACCTCACGCACACCCAGCAGCCGATGTTGTCCGTCCTGCTATCCCGCATTGATGGCGAAGCACTGCAGCGGCATCCGCACCATCTCGCCGCCCACATCGGCCATTCCGCCCACCACCTCCCTGTTGCTGCTGGCCTCGTACACTCCCGACCAAACGAAGTGCTCGACAGCCGCACGCACACGCCGGGCCATGGCGGAGTGCCGCAAGCCGATGGCCTCAGTGATGGTCTGGGTGGCGGCCGCCATGTCGAAGAGGTACGATGCGAGGCGCCAGGCGAAGATGGGGGCCTCCTGCGGGCCGACGGCCAGCCGGGGGCCGAGCAAGGCCGCGAGTGACCGCTGAGGGGCGAGGGCGGCGTTGACGGCAGCCATGACGTCATCCGGCAGATTGTTGAGCACTGTCGCATACTCGGGCAGCACAAGCTGGCGACGGCGGCGGTCATGCTCTGTGGCTGTGGGCATGAGAGCGATGTCAGCGCCCGCCTGGAGGAGCACACGCATGGTGGTCTTGAGGTTGGGGATCCGGATGCTGGCCCGGTCCCTCACGGCCCGCCCCGTGTTGTCGTTCTGCAGCTGCTGGGCGACTAAATCGAGCCGCACGGCAGCGACGGTGAGGGGTGTGAGGGGGTGCAGGTCAGTCGGCCTCCCTCTGTTGATGTCGGCAGCGGTGAGACGCCGGCACAGAGACGCAGCGACACAGTGGGAACCCTGACAGGCCGCGACGTGTAATGGCGTCCACCCATTGTTGTGCACGGCCCTGATGTCCGCCCCGTCGGCCACCAGCATGTCGATGTAGCTGTCGATGAACTGCTGGGAGCAGACGGGAGGCGTCATGGCCGCATGCAGCGGATTCATGCAATTCGGGCGCCGCTCGGTCGCGAGGCTGCTGTCCCGCTGGATGAGCAGCTGGTAGAAGGACAGCAGGATGGCCTCGCTCTCCTCAGTCGGCTGATCCGTCGGCAACGGGATCGGCAGCTCCATCACGCAGAGCCCCGGCAGCTGGATGCCTGGAACAGGCAGACAGACAGACAGACATCATGGTGTGTGTTCCGTGTCGTGAGTGCCGTGAATGCGTGTGTACCTGGCTGACTCATCAGGAGCCCAAATGCCTCCCGGTTACACGAGGCGATGGCCACTCGGATGGGTCTGCGTGGACCCCCACCATTGATGTCGGCACCGCCTTCGATGAGAGCCCGCATGATGGCGAGTTGGAGGCCGCGGGTCTGCCACTTCGGCATGGCAACGGGAGTGCCAGCACCGCCAACGTCGGCTGCCCAGATGGACGGCACGCTGTTGTCAGTGAGGTTAAAGATGCACAGCGACAGCAGCGGATAAGCTACATAGCCGAACCTGGTGCCCGCCACCCACAGCCGTGGCTCCACATTGAGGTCGGCTCCATTCTGCTGAATCAGCTGCGTCATCTGCTGTTCGTCAGTGATTGTGCGGCGAATGACGGCCTCGGACAAGCGTCTGCTGGCGTCACTGGTGCCACGAGGGAAGTCGACGTCGATCACCCCGTTCTCCAAGCTCTTCCAGCCAAGGGGTAACGGCGGATCTGTGGATCGCAAGGCGGACAGACAGATTAGCAATGATGAATGAGGGGCGATTCTGATTTGTGTGTCTGTGGGTGTTTACCTACTTCCGTTATGTCGGCTCCGGTTCTCTCCGCTGCGCTGATGCCCACCAACACTGCCAACACCTCTACCTGCACCCATGCACACAAAGAGGATAGCGACCGACGGCGGGGGCTCGTGTGTGTTGCATTATTTTGTTACCCACCACTATCGCCACCATTGCGATCTGGTCCGTCTGGCTGTGCGCTGCCGTCACGCCGTTCCTCCACGGCTACATGATCTGCAAAGGAACACAGAACACACACATGCACACACACGACGCTTGGCGATGATGCTGTGTGTGTGATGTGCTGCATCTGTCTGAGTGGAGTGTACCTTCATCGCCATCGCCACCGTCCGCCATAGCAGGGGAGGCCATGTCGGTGTCGGGACGACCAGACAACATCGCTCTCACTCAGACAGAGAGCTGCACCATAGACCATACACAGAGATGGGCGGCCACTTGGTGTGTGCGTTCATGTGCGCATCAATCAGTGCTTGCCTATGAAACGTACAAGTAGACGGCCAGCCGTACGCACAGACGCTCAGTCAAGCAATCAGTCCGCCTGTTGACAAGGCAGACCTGAAGACCGCCGACACGCACAGACAGCAAACAACTTATCAGGGTGCGCTTGTGAGTAAGCCAATCGCGGCATCTTCCCACTCACCGTTGGACGAGAAGCCGCCACGTGGCGCGATGTCCATCAGCGGCGTATCCATCTTGTCGAGTGTGCACGGCCCTGCCGCCCTAGAGTAAACGACTAGCCAGTCGCCCAGAGGGCTCTCGCCCTATCTCCGGCTCGCATCGATCGGTAAGGTCAGGAATGCGAAGGAGCCCTTAGGTGGGCTCACAGGACTCGTCGGGTGCCAAGCATCCAGCCGCAGTGAGCCGCGGTGACTTTGGATGAATTACTGATGGGCATATATATATAAAAAATGGAGAAGACACTTCAGCGGTGAGAGCAGTTGCGAACATCACCTCACATACGCCCACCACGGCGGAGCGGCAGAGGAGGCCAGTAACACTCGCATTAATTTTAGGCAGAGTGTAAGATGCACTGAGCACCACACGCACGCACGCATGAATGAGTCCCGCCCACAGACAGGCAGATCCCCTTAATTGGCTTGATAGGCAAACAGAGACACACATAAAGCCTCTCACACACACTCACGCACTACTACGCAGGTCCGTCTCGTGCTTCGCCGACCGAGCGAGCTAGCTAGCTACACGCGCTATCTTCTTTTTTCTTCTTCGTCCGTCGGCTGTATTCACATCTCCTCACATCTGTCTGTCCGCCTGTCTCCCTACCGAAGCACCGCTGGCTCGCGTCGTCCGTCTATTCACACCGCACCGCACACATGCGCTTGCCCCGGTCTGTATGTCTGTCTGTCTAGAGTTCATCTGAGAAACCAACACATACACGTGCATGTGAGATGTGTGTTTGTGTGTGCGCCTGCGTGTGAGTGCGACCGTACCTTTTTCAGAGGTGATGTCTTCCTCATCGGGCGGGGGGGCGTCCTTGCCGTCCCATGGCTTCACCTGCACACCACACACACGCACACGTCGACTCATCAATTGGCGGACTGGCTGCCAGGCTGGCTGACCTTGTCTAGTGTCTTGAGCGGCTTCGGCAGCGGGTCAACGGGCTGACGGCCGGACTGATGACCATCACACACACACACACGGCAGTACACATGAGCAACGGTGGAGAACCTCACCCCCTCTCTCCCCTCCCCTGACGCACCATGAGTCCTGTGAGGAACTGCCTGAGCGCCTCCGTGTTGAAGCCGCCCCTGTGAACCGCATACTTCTCCTGCGCACACATACGGAGCATCAATCAGACATCCGTGTGTGTCGGGACTTCATTTCTCGCTGACTTTGTCAAAGTTGACGGCGATGACAGCGGGGTATCCGAATGCCAGCCGCAGCTGCTCCTCAAACTCAAACTGGTCGCCACCTGCACACATACACACACTCATGTCGAGATGAGATGACGCACACACGCACACTCAAGAATGCGGTCTGTCTGTCGGTAGTCGGGTGTGGGTACCTTGCGACCAGAAGAACTTGACGGGCATGGTTGTGGACGACTTGACCACAGCATTCAGGTCGTCCAAGTACTGGTTGCGGCCTGACGCCTAAACACACACAACATACACACACCACACAACACAATGAACCCACCGTATTCTTGTAGGCGTGTGCATGTAGGAAGAAGTGTGGCCACCAGTCAGTGCCTACCTTGCTGTCGAGTATGTGTGGGAGGAATGCGAGGATACACAGGCCCTTCTTGCACTCATCCTAACACGCATCACATGTGAGGATGCACATGTGACTTGGTCGATCAGCAAAGCCAGCTCACTTTGAACTGCTCGTCGGTCGTCAGCTGTTCCGCCTGCACTCACAGAGACAGATACGAGCCACCCGTGCGTGAGTGGACCGGATCACCTTGGCATTTGCGACGAAGAATTTGAGCGCATACTCTGTCATCGACTCGGCCGTTCGGGGGCCCTGACACACACACAAAACACAGAGAGAATTGCGTCTGCACCTTGTCCTGCACTGTGTGTGTGTGTGTGTGTGTGTATTACTTCGTAGTCTTGGACGAGCGATTCCATCTTCTTGCCCGAGGGAAAGAGCTTCAAGGTCGGGAAGCCTGTAAGCCGTACACAGAAACACGAAGAGGCACACACATGGATGTGCGATGGGTGACCTCTACATGCGCTTCCCACCTTGTATTCCGAATCGTGATGCGAGTGCCCTCTCCTGCGTGGCGTCGACCTTGGCCACCTTGACCTTGCCCTTCAGGTTGTACGCCGTCTCCTCCCACGCCGGCGCCAGCGCCTTGCAGTGACCACACCTGACACACACACGACCACACACCAAGTGTGTCTGTGTCGACGTGACGTGTATGTGATGTGTGTGAGTATGGTATGTGTGTGACCATGGTGCGTAGAATTCCAGAAACCAGGTGTTCTTGTCGTCAGCCATAACGGTCTTGTCAAAGTTGCTGCCGTATACAATGACATACAGACAGACAGACAGACGGAAAATGCGCGAAAGCATGTCGATCGACAGAAACAGGCGCTCCTTTTCTGCCGTCCGTTTCGTTGAGGCCCTCACCCACCTGTCTGTGAGTTCGACGACTTCGCTCTTGCCTCCTGCCGACCCCTTCCCACCACCTTTGCCGCCCTATATGCACACACGCACAGCACACGGACGTCGTCCTGGTCTGTGTGCCTGTGTAGTTGTCCGGCTGTCTGTCTGTCTGTCTGTCTGTCTGTGAACTGTCTACCTTTCCGCTCAGTCGTGCCTTGGCGATGGCATTGAGCTGCTGGGTGGCGTAGTCAATCAGACCTACACTCGCAGCATACACAACCGACCGACACACATCGAGACGTCTCGTGTGTGTCTGTGGATGTGTGTAGGGGAGTGGAGATATCTGTGTACCGGCAGCGGTCCTCTGCCCGTTGTAGTCTTTGGGGGCGTTCTTGTTCTCGCCGAAGAACTTGACCGTGGGGAAGCCCTGCACCCACACACACATGTAACAAACACATGAGAGTCAGTCTGTCTGCCTCTGAGGAGGAGGGAGGGCGCCAACCCACACACACACACACACACACACACACAGACAGACAGCGTGTCGATGCACACATAAATACCTGCACGCCGAACTGGCCCATCACAGACTGGTCCTCCACCGCACCCACCTGCACACATTCCCACCCACACACACGTGCACATGAGACGGAAGGAGGCCGACTGAGCCCTGTGTGTCTGTGTCTGTGTCTGTCTGTCGGTCGCTCACTTTGACGATGCCCTTGAGCGCCTTGGCGGCCTTCTCGTACTCGGGGGCGAACTGCTTGCAGTGTCCACACCATGACGCGAAGAACTCTATCAGCCACAAGTCATCGCTGACCGCACCAACCAGACCAAACCGAACAGCACGAAGAAACACCACACCTGACGTGTACTGTATGCGTGTGTGTCTGGGTGCGTGTGTTGTGTGACTGACCTCTTGGTGACTTCCTGCTGAAAGTTGGCTGCCGTCAGCGTCTTGACTGGCGAGCTGCTGGAATACAACCCTTGAGCATGATGCACCGCAGCACCAATCACCACCAGCAGCTGCACCGGGAAGCCCGGACCGCGCAACATGGATGCTGATCTCTACTAGTCAGGCAAGATGCGATGCCGATCTCGGTTCAGCTCTGCTCGACGGTCCGCAAGAGGGAAAGAAGCAACGGAAAGGCTCAATTCGTCACACGTGTGCGATCTACTCGAAAAATGGCGAGCTTCTTTTCTGGCGGCGTGAGCATGGCGCCTTGTGACTGATCTGTCCATAGATCTGACGTCTGTGATGCCGTCTTTGAGCCGATCTCGCCGCGAAAGATCCACTTCGGTTTGCCAATAATCCTGCTTCCCATTTCCGCGGGGCAGCCCGTGACGAGTTCGCGGACGAACGGAGGGTCAGAGGTAGATGTGTGTGGTGCTGCTGCGGCCTGCGTGTGCGGTGTGCCTGCCTTTCGCCATCCACGCAACCAGCGGCACCAGCAGCAATTGTCTGAGAGCCGCTGCGGCGGTACACACCATTGCCGGCATCAAGCGACGTCGGCTCAGCAGGATGATGGACAACGACGCCAGCCACGAAGGGGACGGAGAAGGCCTTCCTGGTTGGTAAACACACCTTGATGGATTGATGGAGAGAGAGCTGCGCATGGCATGTCTGATCTGTGTGTGTGTATGTGTGTGTCAGCCCCCCAGCACATGCCGTTGCTGCTGGCCTCGCCTTTGCCGCCCATTAACGTGACGGCCCCACGGGCAGGCGACCCCCTGGATCTGCCGTCGTGCCCACCTAACGTGTGTGTCAAGGGCATCAGGCCACATGGCGACGACACGTGAGCGACCAAACAAACAAGATAGTACGTCTGTGTGGCTCAATGGATGGATGGATGGATGGATGGATGGATCTGTGCAGTGGTGACGATAGGTCTGATGGCCGGCGGAATCTGTTCGCTCTGCCGTCGGCCAAACGGCGCGCCACCACTGCCGCCAAGCACATCGACCCCGACCAGTACAATGGGGCGCATGGGGCGTCGTACTTGCAGTGCAGGAACGTGGCCACTGCTGCTGCTGCTGCTGCCGGCCAAGACGATGGGGAACAACGCAGCGGTCAGATGATCCAGACCCGCAGGCGTTGTGGATACACACGTGTGTGTCTATATGTGTGTGTGTGTGTGGGCTCGTTACAGTGTCTTTAGAGAGTTGTGGAGAGCTGGGAGTGCCGCTGCGTGACGGCACGCTGCTCCGGCAAGTTGTCGAGGAGGCCGCACAGGTAAGCACAGATGCACACAGATTCCAACCAAACAGAGGCGAGAGAGAGAGAGAGAGCCACGTTGTACACCTGAATGTATGTGTGTGGCCCGTCAGGTGTTCCACGGCGGCACGCGGCCGACACTCGATGACCTGCAGAGGCTCAGGTATGTCCGCGTACAGCAGCTGAGTCGCTGCCTTGCAACTGTTCCCTCCCTCTCTCTATTTGTGTTTGTGTGTGGATCAGTGATTTGATGCAGCAGCTGCGGCCGCAAGATGTCGGCCTGCGGACCGTGCAGCAGAAAGATCAGCAGCAAGAACGTAATGATTGATTGATGCCCTCCGTACGTACGCCTGTGTATCTCTCTCTGCACACGTATTGCAGGCCGTTCTCCGGCGCCTCGGTCGTGGCTGTCGTCTTTGTTCAACATATCCCAGCGGCAGCAGCAGCAGCAGGAGACACCCGCACAGCCAGCCGCTGCTGCTGCAGATGCCGCCAAAGAAGAAAGTGGGGCCACGACGGACAGGAGGGACACACACACTCATACACACAAGGCGTCTGATGTATGCAATCTATGCGTCCATATGTGTCGTGTTTGTGAGTGCAGGTGTTGTGTTGCCTGCTGCGTCGTTCATGGGCTACGAGGGGTGGGCCAAGAAGATGGTCAGGTTCCAAATGATCTACTCGGTAAGTCACACAAACGTGTCAGCCATGCAGGTGTGTCCAGCACACCCACGCGTGTGTGTGTGTGCATTGGCTGCAGAGCCCCCACTTCGGTACACAAGAGGACATACACACCTTGAACACACACACGCATACACGTCGATCCGGGAAACATAGTAGTTCGTTCGGTATGCAGACGTGGCGCTGTTCGTGTTGCCCGCGGGTCAGTCGCTGCCCCTCCACGATCACCCAGGTACCAACCATAACAAGCACACACACAGAGGCGGGGACCCAAACCCATGCGTGTCTGTGGATGTCGGTGTGTGTGGGATAGGTATGGTGGTGCTGTCTCAAGTCATTGGTACGATCTTGAAGACAGGAGAAGAAAGGAATGAGAGAAGAGAGAGAGAAAGCGTGTGTGCGTGTGTGTGTGTGTGTGTGCAGGCGGGAGCCTGGAGGCATCATCATTTTCCTGGGCGCCACACGATCGGCGAGACCAACACGACGACCCACAGGGCATGAAGCACTTCGGCCACCTGCGCACACCACAGGCACGCTATCCACATACACATATATACACACGGCCGCTCATGTGCCCACGCGTTGCTTTGTGACGGATGGGTGGATCAGAGTCCGAACGAGGCGTGTCGTCTCTCCGACGCTCCACACATCATGCGGGTCACCAAGGAAAAGACAGAGGAGAGAAAAGCTGGAGGTACACAGGACACGCACCCAGGCACCCAACTGTCCGTGTGGCGCACACACACATGCGTGTGTGCAGGCCGTCCAATGGTGCTGTATCCGCGCCAAGGCAACCTGCACGAGCTGCGGGCGGCCACCGTGTGCGCCATGTTCGACGTCCTCAGCCCTCCTTACGACGTCGAAGGGGACAGAGACTGCCGGTAAATGGGCGTGGTGTGGTCTGCTCACCGGGCTGAATGGATGTGGGTGTGGGTGTCAGGTACTATCGGCTCACGGCGCCCCCTGCAGGCCATGTTGAGCGTGACGTCCATGGTTCTGGTGTTGGCGAGTATGCGTATGTGCGTGAGACACCGCTGCCTCCCGACTTTGCCACAGTGCCGTGCAAGCTCGACATAGAATGACAGACAATGTGTGTGGCCTATGCATGTGAGTGCATCGATGCGCCCGACTTTCTCCACCCTCTCGCACACGGCCACCCCAAAGCGCGCTGTGGCTACTTTGGGATGACCGTGTGTCTGATGGATTGGGGAGGTCAGGCGCTTCGTATCCCTGTGTGTGTGTGTGGTGGTGGGGGGGGGGTAGATTGCTTGGTCGACAGAGGATGCTAGAGTTTGTGTGTGTGTGTGTTGTGCCATGTAGTGTGTCTGCCACCGCTGCCGCTGCTACTTATCAGGCAGCCTCTTTTTCCGTCTGTAGCAATAATAATGATGATGCAATCAGTGAGTGCATGACGGACGTCTGTGTGTGTGTGCGCGTGTTGGGTTTTATCCATCTCCCTCTCTCTCTCCCATCCCACCTTGTTTGTGTTTCTAAACCTCCTCACCTTCAATGTCAATGTGTTGGTCAGTCCATCAACGGGTGTTGTCCGCACATCCATCCATCCATCCACTCATCCATCCACCAACACGCACACACACACAGGCAGGCCGGCAGGAATGCAACTAAGCACAGACATCTCTCCGACTGACAAAGACGCGCAGGGCACCCAACCAAGAAGTCATGCGCACGCAGCCAATCGGACGGACACTCACACTCACAGCCACTCTCACCTTCACGCAGAGCAGAGCAGAGATAGAAGATAGTTCTGCCGGCCTGTCTGGCTGTCTGTCTGTCTGGGGCAAAGGGCACGTGTGTGGGTGTGTGTGGGTGTGTGGATTCGTGCGCTGCATGGCGTTGCCCCCTTGTGGCGAAATACCTGGGAGACTACTTGGTGCGGGCGGCGAGATGGCGACAAACGGCCAGGCCGGCCATCAATTCTTTTTGATGTGTATATGTGTGTGTGGGTGGTGGGTGGTATAGCTGCCTGCCTTCTCGGTTGCGTATGTACACAGACACACACACGCACACAGACACGCAGTCATCCATCGACCGACCCCTGCCCCGCTCCCTGCCTCCCTCCCTCTGTCCCTCCCTCTCTCCCCTCCACTATACACCTGCCAGCCGTGTGTATGCAGCACATTCTTGCAACTGAAAGAGCCACGCACACAGACACACACACACTGAGAGAGAGGAAAAAGGAGACACGTAGGCGTCTGGGCGTGTGTGTGTCTTTGTGTGTGTGTGTGTCGGTTGTGCCTACCGTGCAGTATGTGTGTGTATGTATGTGTATTGCGGTCGGTCAGTAGAGGTCGTCCAAGTTGTCGTCGTCGTCCGCACCGTCATCTACCTCGTCGTCATCATCGTCACCTTCCTCCTCCTCCAGCTTGATCCGCACACCGCCAACCATCTGAGGCACCTGACCTGCCTGACGTGCCTGACGTGCCTGACGCGCCTACACACACATGCACACGCATCAGTCCATCCGCCCACGCAGGGGCCTTGTGTGTGCATCTACCTGTGGCATGTGTGTGTGTGTGAAGGGATCCCTACCTGTCGCCTCTGTGCCAGTTTGGCTCTTTTGGCTATCTCTTGTGCGGCCATCTCCCGCGACTCCTTGTTGTTGCTGTTGGCGCCCATCATGGCCAGATACGGCGTCCAGTTGTAGTTGGGACCATACGGCTGACATTGACAAGTGGCGCCCTCTCTCCCTCTCTGTGTGTGCGTGTGTGGCTGACATTGACAAGTGGCGCCCTCTCTCCCTCTCTGTGTGTGCGTGTGTGTGTGTGTGTGTTACTTCGTCTGTGTGGTTTGAGGCGACTCGGTGGTACTTGTGGCCGCAGAATTTGGCGTCAACCTTGTCCGTCGACACCTACACAGCAACTCCCACAAAGCATCGATGGGATGGATGGTTGGATGGGATTCGGCTGCTCACTCACCGTGCCGATGTCCTGCTTCTTGTGGTCGAGTAGTTTCTCCATCTCGTCGACGGTCTTCTTCAACTTCCCCGCACTGTGGGACGACTCGCGGACCAGCTGAGACGGCTGCATATCCACGCGCGCCCCCGCAAACACACATACACACATACATTTGCAGTGGCGTGTTCGTTCGCCCACCCACCCAGATGGCCCCGTCAAGTTCGTTCTTGAAGGTCTTGCGAGTCAGGTACAACGCTGCAGGCCATGACACACACACACACACACACACACAGATCGACACACATGATTTCAACCATGGGTGTGCGTCTGGGGGGAAGGGGGTGTGCGTGTACCTGCACTGGCTACTTGAGAGGCCGGTGTGTTGACGAACTCCAAATCACACGCACTCAGGAACTGCTCACACACAACACCCACCCACAGAGCCACAACAGGGTGTGTCTGTGTGTGTGTGTGTGCGTACGATGCAGTATGTGGCGAAGCAGAACATGTTCGAGTCGATGTTCATCTCGGCGCACTTGAACAAACGCTCCAGAAACGACTGCACCGGTGACCCATCGATTCATTCCCCTCCATTCATGTGGAGACATGTGTGTGGCGGGTGATGTGATGGGTGTGGTGACCAGTTTGCAGGGGCTGGAAGCATCGAACTTGAGCTCGTCCAACACCTCTGCACACACGCACACACACACACACACATATATATCCCCCAACCAAAGGCACACATGTCTCTCTCTGTGTCTGATGCGATGTTATGGGGGTGAGCTGACTGACCATTCTGTTTCTCTCTGACGGTTCGGAATTCGTCGTAGATGGTGATCATGAATGGGTCGGTCTCGGTGATCTTGGCGGCCGCGTACAGGCACGCGCCCGCGTACTGCATGAACCATCCAGCCAACCACCCCCCCGTCACACAGACCAGACAACAAACAGAGACATCACATCACACATGTGCTCGGGGGGTCCTAGAGACTTACGTGTGTGAGTTGGTCTACGTCGAGGTCCTTCTTGCTCGCCAGAAACAGGTCAAACATCCTACGCACACACGTAGAGACAAAGAGAGGTTCGTGTGTGCAGGTATCTATGTATGTGTATGTGTGTGGCGGGGAGCGGTGGGGGGTTGGTGGCTGACTCGATGGCTCTGAGAGTGGTGCGATCCATGCAGTTGTGCTTGGCCGCCACCGCTACTATGTACTGCACCATCTCGCCTGCACACCATACCATGCAGCCCATATGCAACACCAACCAGACAAATGCGTCCGTGGTGGACAGACAGGGGCAGAAAAACTGATTGTGTCCGCGTACATCGCTCCTTGGCGCCGAATTCCTGTCCGTTGAGGTAGTTCTTGCTCACCACATACTCCTTCTGCACACACAGCCACGACGAAACAGCGCATGCATTTGTGTGTGTGTGTGCGTCTATATGTGTGTGACATCAGTAGTACCTCCGTGACGAGGAACCTCTCCCTGAAGACGGGCCAGGTCTTGATCTCGTTGGCCACGCTGTCCACACCCGCAGTCACCTCACCAGCAGGCAGAATCAAACCATAGACCGAACTGCACCACACACACACACACATACAGCTCCATCCCTCCCTGTCTGCGTCTGCATGTGTGTGGTGGTCTTGCGTACTGTCTGGAGCGTTTGTCCGCCTTGTCGCCCGCGACCATGGCCTCCTGCTTCTTGGTCAGGGTGTTGTGCTTGCAACCAGTCACGAAACGCACCAAATCCGTAGCCGTGCGATGCCGGGCTAGACCTAGCCACACACACACACAGAGAGAGAGAGGGGGGAACAACACGCATCATGTCTGGTGTGTGACGCGCGCGTGTGTGGGGGAAAGGGGGAGGGGAAGCGTACTGCGAGGTGACATTTGGATACCGCCCCCCTGCAAGAGCACCGCACACACACAAAGGGAATGTGTGTATGTGTGTGTAGGTGGTGAGAATGCAGAGCATGCCTCTCTCCCTCCCTCTCTCCCCCTCCCCTGTGTACCTGCCCATTCTGATGCACAGCCCCCTCATGGTCATCCATCGTGTCCAGGTCCACCTCCTCACGAATGCGACGCTTGCCAGCCTGACGTGCACCACATACACACAACAACACCACACACAGAGACATGCATGATGCACACGGACGCCAGACGGATCAGTACCCTCTTGCAGTCCTCTCCACCAGCAGCGGCCTGAAAAACGAGATGGAAAGGAGAAAGGAATGTGAGCATCGTGAAACTTTGGATGCAGTTGTTGGATGCCGTGCATGGCTCACCACAGCGGCCGCCGCACCCTCACGCACATTGTCAGCAACCTTCTCCTTACGAGCACCGCCGCCGCGCTTCACATTCTGCACACAAGATAGGACAAGAAACCATTGCAAATGGACGCATTCACGGACGAAACGACGGATGCCATGCATTCCTGCCACCGCAGCATCACATCACACCCCAACACGCCCTCCCGACACACCACCACACAGGCATCTCCTTTCAAAAAGGACCAAATGCGCCAGGAAATGCACCATGCGTACCTTCTTTCGTGCCTCCACCATGGTGAGGACAGCTGCCGTCAGCCGTAGAGCGGAATACACGGAGAAATGTGAGCCAGCGGTGGGTACAACGCCTCAAGTGAGGCCGGAAGTCTGTTCGTTGTCGGTAGAAATCGTCCCGTGGCCTCTTATTGGTCTCCTCTGGTGTAGTCAGGCCTCCACGTGGCCTGATGGGCCCACAGAATCCCTCCCTTGCCGTCGCAAAATCGGAAAAAGGGGAAGACAGAGCGATCGAAGCTCGCACAGTTTCACGACCTTCCACACGATCCACGGACTTGAGCGATTTCCCTTGTTCAGTGCAAATGGATCGGCGCATAAGTGACAATATGTCGGCCAGTTTCGTCCATCATGCGGGAGAAAAAATTGAGACAGGTGTGGGAGGCTGTACGAGAAATTGACGCATGAGCAGCCACGCAGATCCATCATCCATCCATCCATTCATCCATTCATCCATCCCCTCATATACAGCGACGTCAACGGACGTCGGACACACGTCCACTGATCAAGAAATGCAGCCGCCTGTCCTCCCATGCCGACGAAAAATCGTGTAGCTGCCTGTCAATTGCTGCCTAGTAGTCCGAAACCGATGAAAAATCGACGCAGGTCATGCATGCATTCGCGCCCATGCATCATTCAAGTCATTGCAATGACTGCGGAGCGGAAAAAGGGCTCACTGCAGTACATGTACGCACAAACACACGACAGTCCTGCAGCGATCGCTGCAAAAACACATGGTCGCTCACGCTCACACCCCACGTACACTCAAAGAAAAGGCTCACTGTCGCGCAGCAACAGCAGGGAACGATTAGAATGGTACACGCACATCAACACCATGATGAAGCAGAGGAATCATGCATTGACGCACAGAACGTGCAACGCTATCAGCGTTAGTGTCGGTACTGCCTTGGTACTTGCATGAGAGAGACGCATGGTTACTTGTACATGCAAGACATTCGTATCATCGGATGGTGCAAGACAGGCACCGCAGGTATCATGTCAGTCCACCACGAACACAAGTACACCATAACGAAAAAGATGGCAACAACCACTGTCCACTCCCGCACACGAGGCGCGCCATCCACGATCCTTCAGCAGTGGTTGTACGCATCGATGCTGTCACTCCACAGCCCCCCCTTCAGCAGCCAACAGCGGCGTCAACAGACGACGGACACATCTTTGTGTCGGCGAGTGTGTCAACGCATGCATTCAACTGTATCTGATCAAGACATGTTACTGCCTGTCCTTCCAAGCCGACGAAAAATCGACGCATGCCGTCCCCCACAATCTTTCCATCCATCCATGCATCATTCAAATCAGCTACTGCGGAGGAAAAAGGGCTCACTGCAGTACATGTACGCACAAAACACACGACAGTCCTGCAGCGGCAAAAAGATTGCTGCAATATGCATGGTCGCTCACGCACACACAAGAAAGTCCGCAGTGATGTGACGATCGTCACACACACCACGTACTGACACGAACACACCAGAGAGGAAGGGAGAGAGAGAGAGAGGGGGGGG